CACTCCCTCCCCTCCCCTCCCCTGCCTGTGGGAGCTCTTGAGAATTGTTCCTTACCCTGCCGCACCCACACCCAGCCTCAGGCCCCAGACTGAAACCATCTCTGGGGCTGACAGATCTTTCCAGATGGGGGAGGAGGGCCTGGGCAGACTGTTGGACTCTAGGGAGGAACTGTGGGACCAAGCAGTGTTGGAGGCATGGGGGCCAGTGGCCAGGGGCACAAGCCTGGGGCAGAGGAGAACCAAGAACCCCTGGGGAGAAGACCCCCTTCTAAGAGGAGCCATACGTGCAAGCATGGGGGACTTCCTGAGCAGTCCACCCCCTTCCCTCTCCTCCATCTCTGCTATCCACCTCTCAGAGCTCGGCTCAGAGCCTTGGGAGTTGGTGGGCTCCCTGTCACTAGAGGAGTTCCAGGCACATCTAGCCTGGGCGTTCCCAGATGGCAGGAGCAAGCACCTCATTCCAGGCACCCCAGGGGCTAATGCACAGTTTTCTTCAGTTGAACTTGGCAGGTTCCCTCAGAGCCCCTTCCTAGGACTCAGGACTTGGGGTTCAGGGAGGGATGTGACCTAAGGACAAGTACGAACTGGAGGCAAGGTCCTCACTCACCTGGTCAAACCCCTGGTCCCCCGGCCTCTGCAAGAACCAGTGCACAGTTGCCTGGGGAGACTTGGGCAGGCACTCCAGGAAGGTGCTGTTGTGCTCCGTGCCATAGACCGTAGTGGTGGCCACGAGTCCTGCAGCCACCTCTGGAGGGAAGTGGAGGTGGGCTCAGCTCAGGAACTATGGGACCCCTAACCCCCACAGTCCAGGAGCCCCCATAAGTGTTACAGGGACCTCGATGTCTATCAGTCCCCAAGCCAGTCCCACTCTGTCCAAAGACCCTACACCCATATACTGAGAGAACTGCTCAGATAGGGAAATTGAGGACTGTGTGTTGCAACAAGACAAGTCTGAGGCCCCATTTCACAGGGGTTGAGCCCGGGCCACGGGGTGAGTAGCTGCCACTCACCTTCCTGGCTCTGGCCCAGGCACTGCAGGGCAGGGTTGCCATGACGGATGTCCTGCCGGCGGAACCGGCGCTTGCCGGTGCCAGGCCGGTAGCGGGTGCAGGAAGCACCATCCCAGGCGCAATATGGGTCCCGGGCCAGGCAGCACTCTGCACAGGCACTGCCATAAGTCTCACACTGGTGCAGCTGCAGCCGGGCCACACCCAGCCTCGAGCCCACGTACAGCATTTGCTGGGGAGAGACCCAAGTAGAGCCCACAGTGAGCCTGGGCTTCCCCAGAAGCAGCTAGGCTCTCAGGTCCCTTGGTTTCCTGAGATCCCTGCCATTTTCAAGCAACCTTCCAGAACGTCTTGGGTGCATTCACAGAACAAAATGCTTATCACCCACATGCTGTACACCAGATCCTGTGCTGGGACATGTAGGGGATGGGGCAGATCCAGGATCCTTTCTCCAAGGGGCTTCCCCAGGCTCTCCCTGCTCTGACCTTTGCCCTCTACCCCAATGGCTTTTATCCTGACTTGCCTCTGACCTTAGAGGTGCACTCTGCTTTAAGCAATCCCAGTACCAAAGCCAGAATTTACCCAACGATCAACTGAGGCAGATAAACTGGGGAAGATGGTATTTGCCACTTGTAAAGGGACACAGCAGTCCTCTAAGAAGTGGCTCCCCTGTTTGATTTCAAATCTGGATTTTTGTTTTCAAGCACTTTTTTTTGCCTCCCCTGGGGAGCCGGTCTTTGTGGATCTCTTATCTGAACACAGCCTCACTCACTCAGGGTCTCCCGCTGCCCACTGGTTTCATGCATGGGAATCTCAGCTCCCAGCTGGACTCCCAACCCTCTCTGCAGGGCCTAACCAGGAGGCCCAGTGCCAGACACAGGCAATGCTCAAGGAGGCTTTGGGGAGGGAAGAAAGGAGGCGCTGGGAGGGGTGCAGCTGCTCTTACCCTTTTGACAGAGATCTCCATCTCAGTGATGGCTGTTGGCACCTGGGGAAGGAGCAGGGCCTCAGGGTGGGGGGTGTTGGAGACCCCTCCACTGCACCCCCTCTTTCAGCCTCCTTTAACCCCTGGGTGGGAACCACCCACCCCCCAGCCCGGGTTAGTGCAAGCCCTGCCTACTAGGGCCAGACAGTCTTCCCAGAGATCAGGTTACAAAAAAGGTCCCCTTACCCTGGCTGGCCTCCAAGCACGATGCTTGGCTAACAGCACAAATCTCCAGTGTCCCCTCCCACAGCCCTGTTCCCCGGCAATGAAGCAGCTGTCCCAGATCACCCATTGCATCTTGGGAGGTATGACAGTCCCCCAGACACATCACCTGCCTGATTCTTTAGAGGGGCCAACAGAACCCCTTGGGCAATTGGGGTCTCAGCCACCCCCTCACAGTGACCTGTGCCTATCAGGGCTTTGTCAAGGGGTGCTCACCTCGGCCATCCCTCCCTGGGTCCCCCCAACTCTCAGCTCACAGACTGCATCTCCAGGCCCCTCAGTCATTCAGAAACACCAGCAAGGCCTCTGCAGCAGAGAGTGTCATCACTTTCCTCCCCCACTGGCCACAAGTTCAGTAAAGACAGGCCCATCTCCCTCCTGCGCTTTGCTCCTGCTTCCCTGTAGCCTGAGCTAGACCCAGGGACTGGCTTGAGGAGACCCCTCCCTCCCATCAGCGAGCCTCCCTGCTCACCTTAAACACCTGGAGCTCTTCCAGAACCACCTCCTCAGGCTCTGCTGAGTCCCCAGACTGGAGGGCCATGACCTTGAGCACTGACCCTGAATCTGAGTTAGGAGAGGAGGGGTCAGTAGGAGAGGAAGGGGCAGCCTGGGCACCCACACACCTCCCCAGTCCAGCTACCTTACTCAGCCCACCCACCAGTCCCCAGGAAGATGACATCATAGGTCCCGTCCTCTGCCTCCACTCGGTCCACCACGATCTGGCGCAGCTGCTGGGCCAGGTGGGTTTTGACGAGGACAGGGCGGCCCCGCCGAGGTCGCACAGACTGGAACATGAGTGGGTGGGCTCGGGCAAACTGCAGCACCTCGTCCGGGTAGTCCTTGGTGCTGCCAAAGGGTCGTCGGGGCTGTGCAGTCATCTTGCTGGGACACTGTGGCAGTGGCAAAGGGAGCACCTGGAGTCCTGGGATCCTGGGATCACACGGTCCCCACCCCAGCCTATCCAGGGCCCCATTGTCTGGGCATGCCAACCTCAGAGGGAGTGCTCTCATTGTGCAAGATGCTCCTTAACATGGTCAGGGCTCCATGCCAAGCCTCACCCTTACCCTGCCCCTCTGGAGCCCTAGATCTGAGCTGCTATGGAGCTGTGTGCAGACACCATGCTGTCCCAACATAGAGCCCCCTGGCATCTGCTCTGCTCTCTCCCCTGGCCTGGCCAGATACTCACCACGCCAGGGCGGGGGAAGGGCACCTTGCCCCCATAGGGCCCCCACTGGTGCTGGGGACCCTCTTGGTGGGCAAAGGGCCCCCTGAAGACCTCCCAGATGTCCTCCATGTGATACAAGCAGACTGCGAAGCCCTGGAACACAGCACTGCCACAGGCAGACAGGGAGAGTCAGGCCAGGGTGGCCGTCTTAGATGGGAAAAAGGCAGCCTGGCTCTATGGGCAGGGCAGAGGGCCACAGTCCCTGCAGTCAGCAGAAACTGGAAAACAAGGACACCCAGGCAAAGATAAAGAGAGCAGAGAATACAGCCAGAGTCACCAAGTCAGAGACAGGGACAGAGACAGAGACCCACGGCAAAGCCGGGATATGAAGCCAGACGCTCAACAGAGGAGCCCGGGGTACAGAGACCAGGCCGGGCCGGGGTAAGGGGAGGCTGGTGTGCCCACCTGACCGTGCTGAAAAGCGCGTACACCTCCAGGCTCTTCCCTGCCTTGGGCCACAGCAGGAACACATCCTCTGGGAGACAGAAGGCCACTGCCAATGTCCCCCACTCACTGGCTCTGAGCCCTCCCCACTCCCGCATCCAGGCCTGCCCTTGGCCTGCCCTTACCCAGCTGGTCAAAGTGGGTCTCTGCACCACCGGGACCGGGCACGGAGCAGACCAGCCTGGCCTTGAGAAAGGTGCTCCATTTGTTCACCAGCACCCGCTGACCCCCGGCGTCATTCTGTGGTCGGAGGGCCAGAGTCAGCCCCGGGCCCCAGAGGATGGCCCCCCCTCCTCGCCTCCACCCCTACCCCTCAGGGCAGAGGCATGGACATTGGCTGAAGGTGGGACAGGCTGGGAAAGAGGGAATGCAGCAAGGACATCGGGCCCCTCCCTGCCCCTCCCCAGCTCTCACCATGCAGACACGGCCCACGCGGCTGACGGTGACATGGCCCGGGCCACCATCTGGAGAAGGGACAGTCTCGGAGAAGAAGAAGTACACCTTGTCATCATTACGGTCAGAGTTGTCAGAGATCCGGGCAGCCATCACGAACCGGGGGTCTGGACGGGGGCAGTGACAGTGTGAAGCTGGTGGGGGAGCCTCACAGGGGAGGACAGGTGGCTGAACCCACTGGGGAGGGAAACAGGTACAGGGGCCCCCACTGGAGGCTGGAGTCCCAGGGGGTGAAGAGGAGATGGTCCGCCCCTCTGTCTCTATTCCAGGGTCAGCTCTCCTGCCTCCTGCAGATGTGGGGCAGACCCCAGCCCGCCTCGCCCTCCACAGGCCCTGGACTCACTGTGCAGGAGGTTCTGGTCAGAGTCAGAACGCAAGGCCGGCCGGGGACCTCCACTGCGGAAGATCATGGCCTCCCGCCCCAGGAAGTCGGCAGTGAGGCCTGTGTACAGCTCCCCACCTGGGGTGGTGTCGGGGCAGAGTCAGGGGAGGCGGGCCCAGCCACCATCCCTTCCCAAGGGCATCAGCCGGCTCCCACCCTCCCCCTGCCCACCCAGACCTGGGCATCACCCACCTACAAAGGTGCTGGCGAAAGGACTACTGGGCTCGTGCGGGCACCGTCCCCGCCCACTTTCAACACTGTGGGGCTCCAGGCGAAGTACATGCTGGGGGAGAGCAAGGGAGGGGTGTCACCTAGGAAAGCCGTACCAGCCCCCACCAGCCCCCCAGTAGTGGCCATTGCGTGCAGCTGGAGAGTGGGGGGGTGAAGGTACCCTCAATTCAGGGCCTTGCCAATGAGGTCAGCTCTGGCACAAAGGCTCCTTTCAGGCTCTGAAACCTCTGTCCTGACCCAGGCTCAACAGGGAGGGTTCAGGGAGCCTGGAGGAAATGTCATTGCTTCCCAGTCCCCCGTGGGGCCTGCCACAGGCTCACCTCCCCACGGTGCCCAACAGCAATGAGTGCGCAGGTGGGATGAAAGGCCCCAGTGCCACACGCCAGCAGGTGGGTTCGGTTGTGGGGCTGCAGCACCCGCACGAAGTTGGCACACTCCATCTAGCGGGGAGAGGGACAGGACTGCTCACCATCTCCTCAGGCCCCAAGGTTCAGCTTGCCTGGCTTATCAGTTCTGGGGGTCTAGGGCAACATTCTTCATGGATCTTCAAGAGCAATTCTGTTATCTGTTTCAACTGACCCCAGCACAGGCAGCTGGAGGCTGTCCTGGGGAAGTTGGTCAGGTTTGGGGACAGTCACTCACCAAAGGATCTCGTCCCTTTCGAACACACTCCTCCCTCTGTCCTGGCTGTGGTGGCCACAGGACCTGAAACACAGCCCAGCTGACCCCTGAGCTCACGGCCTCAGTTTCCCCATCCAGCCTCCCATCCAGAGTTGCCCAGCTCCCAGACAGACCCTCTCCCTGGTCAGCCCAGCTCACCTCCCGGGGGTCCGCCCATGCCTGGTCCAGCTGCAGAGAGTAGATGGCATCACGGCCCCCCAGAAAGAGGCGGTCTCTGTACTCATCCAGGTACATCACCTGAAGATCTAGGGGGCCCCGGGAACCCAGAAAGATGGCAGAGCGGTTGGCAGATAGGAGATCTACAAGGGAGCAAGGGAGGGGGTCAAGGTCCCCCTCAGCCAAGTCATGGAAGTAGAGGGTCCCAGCTGTGCATTTACCCCCCACACACTCACATCTGGAAAATGTTTCCATCCACAGGGCTGCCAGGAGGGCTTCTGGGAAATGGCTCCTGGGGGTGGGTGGGACAGAGGGCTCTGAGCCCCGACTCAGCCCAGCCCACGCAGGGGCCAACGCCTATCCCTCCACTCCTTAGCCCCCTGGTCCTTCAGTTAACATCTTCCCAGTGGCCCATCTGCTCTATGCAGTCCCCAGTGAAGATGGCCCCACTGGCAGACCATCCGGCAGCAAGCTGGAGGAAGGGTGAGTGAGTCTGAGCAGTGTGCAGTGGACAGGCAGGGGAGAGTGTTCCCAGCAGAGGGAACACCTGGAAAAGGCCTGGGTATGGTAGAGGCCAGGTGTGGCCAGGCCAAGCTCCAGGCTCTAGTCCAAGGATGTGGCTAAAGAGGATTTTCTCATTACCCATAGACCCTCCCCTCCCAGCCCTAGGTATGGAGGTTTGGGGATGCTAGTCCTAGGACTCAAGGATCCTGAAATAGGTCCTTGGTGTTAGGCTAGGGAGGTGGAAATGGTGGGTAGGCAAGGGGACAGACAGCAAGATGGGTGGGAAGGGGCCCTGGCCACCCTAGGAAAGTATCCTATACCTGCCCAAGGGGTCATCCCCAGCCCAGGACCCACTCCATCCCCAAATTCATCAACAGCCTCTTCCAGGAAGCCCTCCATGACTGACAGTACTTTGGAAAGGATAGGCTTTTTCTTATAGCCAGACTTCCCTCCAAAACCACAGCTCCAAGGGTAGGACCAAATTCTCCCCCTAGACCCCATTTTCAGACTCTCCAGAGTGGAGTCATATCTCACCCCTCGTACTCTCCAGAGCCTGGGCCTCCCTTTGGGCTGAGGTTCCCAGAGAAAGTTGATCACCCCTCTGGCTTCCCTAAGAAGAATTTGTGGAGAGCCTGTGTCTCGGGAACCTTTTGCTGTGTACTGTCTCCACAGATTCAGAAGAGGCCTGTGCCCGCCCCAGCACCACGTATCAGGTTAAACCTGCAGAAGAACCTCCTGGGCTGGGACGGAGGGAAGGAGTAGGCCAGCATCGGGAAATGGGCTGCAAGAGGCAGGTGGGTGCGGGGAAGCTGCGGGGACAGGGTGAGGGGCCCCATTGCAGGGTGGGGAGGAGAGGGGCAGGAATCTGCTCTCCCACTGTCTGCCCTGGGCAAGGAGCCCCCACCACGTGCAGACAGACCCTCCAGACCTGCCCTGTGTGCCCATCCCCATCTCTCTCTGCCCATCTGTACTGAGGTCTCTCAGGGTCTCCATTCGTCTCTCTCTTTTTCTCAACAGTCCCCTCGGGTTTTCCTCTATGTGCCTGTCTCCGCTACCTCCACTCTGGACGTGCCTCCAGGAGCTGTCCCTCTCCCCCTGCCTCCTCCCCCAGTGTCCGCCTCTGGCAGCAACCAGAGGAGCACCATCCCGGGGAATGACCAAAAATCCTTCCCACGGGCTGTGCCGGGAATGACTACATCCCTCCAGCTCGCAGGGCAGACTGCCCCAGCTGGCTGGGACCCCCACAGCTGCGGGTGCTGCAGGGTCCCAGGGTCCCTCAGACATGCACATGAACAGGAGGACCCATCCATACCTCGGTAGGAGAGCCGCAGACGGGGCACGCTGGGGCCGGGACTGGGGCTGCCCCCGTGGAGCAGGAGACCCCCCAAGAGGCAGCAGATGGCCCAGGCTGAAGGGGCCATGCTGGGGGACCGAGGGTACCACGCTGCCCGTGGAGCCACCCTCTGGTCCCACTGCTGGTTGTAGTTTGCTCTCTTGCCGCCAGGCCTGCCACTTATAAGGCAGTGGCTCCGCCCTGTCCAGGGGCAGGAAGGCGGTGGAGGAAGAGGGAGGGGGGAGAGGCTGCCAGGCACCAGCTTTGGCTCCCTCCACCCCAACTGGTGGCCCACTTGATGCCTCTGTCAGATTAGCCAGTTCCCCAGTTCCCCATTGGGGATACTCTTTCCCAGCCTGAATGTGGGTAGCTTACACAGATAGGTCCACAAACCCAAGTCTCCAGGCTCTAGCAAAATGTCAAGGGGGGAGATAACCTGGAAAAGAGGTCAGGAGTCAGAGATCAGAGGTTGATGGTCTAGGTGAGGGTCTGGTTGGACTCTCCTTTGCTCTCTGCCCCTCCAGTGCCTATGACAGAAACCTTTCCCCCACAAACTGACTTTAGGCCCCAGTCCCTAAACCAGCAGGGCCCAACCCCCTGAAGCCTTGGCTTGGCTCCCCAGCTTCCCTGCAGTGTCTAAGTTACCTGTATGTGCAGTCGGGAGTGGAGGTGAGGCTCTTCGGTCAAAGGGGCTCCATGTTCACAGATCTGAGATTGGCAAGAGATGAATGAAACATCTGGCCTCCAGGCCCCAGCCCAGCTTACTGGACAGGGGAGCCTCCCATTGCCCTGCCTCTCAGGCACCCAGTCCTTCCAGAGGCCCAGGGCCTAGAGTGTCACTCAGTGAGTGGTGGGTTCTTCCCAGAGTCCTCCTCTGCCCCATAGGCCCTATACATATGATCCCTCCAGAGTGAGGGTGAAGGGAGGGTGCTCACACCCTCACTCCCTCTGCCCTGAGCTCAGATCCAGAGGGGGGGGT